ATCAATGATGTAGAGTGTGCCTAAGGAGAGTCACATGGAGAGAAAATGTTCTCTCAGGCTTTCACAGAGAGCACATTGGCCAAGCAATGGCCGTGACTCATCCACATGGCTGGCACTGACAAAGGATCTAAAATCTGAGGTACAGGATCTCAGGGTAAATCCTGAGCAGATTTGACTGATCTTATCAGACCCAAAAGCTACAACTCTTGTTGCATAGGTCTTGTTTTGTCTTGGTCTTAACCATCCAGCAGAAAAGTATAAAAATGAAGTATAGGAAGTAAAGCCATGCTGTTATGTTGAGCTGTGTGGGACTCGGGTCAACATTTTCTGATATTGCCAGTGAAGCAGAAGACCCAATATTATTATGGACTACTGGATTCTTTTAGAATATTTTGCTGAGTTATCACACCTATAATATCCAAATAACAGAATTAAACAAAAAAGGGGATACAGAAGAATGTCCATTTTGTATCTGTATATTCAAAATTTTTAGGATGGCTATATAGTTACATTCTCTTAATGAATAGAGGGATTTGTTCTAATAGTGTTTGTAAATAGGATATCATGTCCTCATCTTGTACAGCAAACAACCACTAGGAAGAATGTATGCAATGTGTTAATTATTGAAACTCTCCTACTAATTTGGTTTGAAACTTTCTCATTGCTATTTGTTTCTCAATAAAATTATGGGGGAAAAAGTTGTCCAACTAGATTAAGTGATATAGCTCAAGTCTATCAGATATCAACTTTCATCGACATTCCCATTGTACAGGTGGAAAAATTAAGGTTCACCCAAATTTCTTTTCCATAGTCACGTGTTTAGTAAGTTATAAAGCTGGGACTTTAAAATTAAAATTTGTGTCCCTTGGCACACTTTTATTTTCCTCTCTGTAACATGGCATTAGTGCTTGTTGGGGCCTCAGTGTGCCATTTGATAATGATAATTATGTTATGAAACTAGGGAGGAAGTGCATATACATAAACTGCTATAGAAGTTGTAAGACATATTGTGATAAGGATTTTACATGTCAAAGAAACTTGGGGAAAAGTAATGACAGCGTCATAGATGAGGGAACCCAACTTCTGCAGCCTGATGTGAGGTGTGTTTGTCAAAGTGGGGAGAGGAGTGGAAAGGAGAGGGGAGAGGTAGAGAGCTTTGAATCTTCCTATGCAACAGTTCTCCCATCTCAGCCTCCACACTGACCCAGATTCTCTCAAGAGCCTCGGCACTGGCCTAACCAGTGCTGGGAAAACACGTAGAAGGAAACCAACAGTTGCATAATATGGAAGTGAACGCGTGACTTATTTTTCTCAAAGGACAGGTAACTTTTCTTTCTCTCTTCATGTCTAGAGACTTAACTCAAGGCCCCACATACATCAGATAAGTTAGGTTAGAGTGGATGTACATCCGATAATACTTATTTATATTGAAGCGGGGTCTTTCTTGGTTATCCAGGCTGGGCTTGGTGCGTTAATATGCCTATTTCAGTACCCCAACTGGTTGACATTAAAGGTGTGCACCAACCATCAGCCTCAGTGATTTCATTTTAACCAAGCACTGAGATCTTGGTAAATGCAGGTGATTTAAGAATTTCAGTTTTAACTGGCAAGGGGGCACATATCTGTCATCCCAACAGTCAAGGTCATAGAAACGTTATGAAAAGTTCTCCCCAGCTGGAGCAGCTTAGGAGGACCTGGTTTAAAAAAAAAAAAAAAAAAAAAGTGGAGAAGATGTAGCTAAGTGTAAAATTCCTGAATTCAGTCTCTGAGGAGTGAAAACCATTTTCAAATCTTGTGCATCCAAGAGCAGTTCTTTCCATTCTACTTCAGGGATGATGACCACACTAGTTTTAAACTTATGAGACCAGTTTCCAAATTTCCATTCTTGTCTCAAAAACGCTTAGGTGAGGGCCAGCCAGATAGCTCAAGAGATTAAAGTGCCTGCTTAGGCACATGCAGGGGTTCGGTCCCTGGTCTGTTGCCTGCTGCTCCCAGCTCCCAGCCCCCAGCCCCCGGCTCTGGCTGGGGGCATGCTGAGACGTGATTCAGACTGGGCATGGTGGCACATGCCTATAATCTCAGCTCTTGGAAGGCTGAAAAACAGGAAGGATCACTGTGAGTCTGAGCTGCGCAGTGAGACCCTGTAAACTCTACTAAATACATTAAAAAAAAAAAAAAAAAAAAGCTTAGGTGAGCTGATCAGCAATCACAAAAGGAACATGTTACTGAGTTCCCCTCCTCTCTTTAGGCCTGTGAGCTCTGACCCATTCAAAACAACCCTGCGGACAATCTTTCATTTACAGTCACACTACGAAGAATCTGACTTCTGGAGAAGTTTACTGTTATAGTTGCTGATTTTGCCATCCTCCCCATTTCTTTTTCACTAACCTTCACTCTCACTTACTCAAAAAACCCTATCGTTCCTACTCATCCACATCTCCACAGCCTTATCTGTGGGAATTCACCCTTCCTTCAGTACTTGTTTTATACAAAGTTCATCTCAACCAGTGTTTCTGTTTTAAAAACAATGTCTAGAAAGAGTGCAAGAACTAGAGCAATTATTTCAGAGAAGACACCCCTTTTTCTTCCCAGTTATGCCAACATCATATTGCCACTGTAGATGCCCCAGTTTAATTAATTTCTCAGGGTGTGGTGAAGAGACAGCCCCTTCAGGAAGTCATCCACTGCAGTAACACTCTGTCCTCACTCCCTAACATATCAACCTCCCCTCCATCTTTCTCAACTCTCTAAACTCTAGAGAAAGCCTCACTGAAATAGTCTTGTAGTAAAGAATATTTCACTTAGCTTTTATAAATAAGGCATCTAGCTAGGGAAGGGCCTGACATAGAGATGAGAAATCAACAATTCTGATGAGAAAGGAAAAGGAAAAGGAAACAGACTGTCATGTAGGACTTTGGGGCAAGAATAAACTTTCAGCCCAAAAAACAATAGAGCTCCCTCACTACTCAAGAGTTGCCACCATTCCCAACTAAGGTTCCAAGTTTCCAGGAACAAATAAAATACTAATAACCAGCTTTTCTCTCAAATTTCAGTTTCCTTTAAACCGTGCATGCTCAGGAAATGGGTTAGAGAGCTTGAGTTCAAAGTGCATGTATTAAATCCACAAAAGCACCTGTGACAAGTGGTCACTAAACAACTGGGCAATTAGTGTGCTCATCTTATTTATAATTAGTTCTGGAGTTAACGTCTCTAGGCCACCCGCTTGGGACATCTACTAGTAATCAGCCAGCAGTTCTTATTTCCAATAAAATCTCTCTCGACACCCGTTTCGGTTCACGATCTCATTCCTCAATGTCAGGAGACCACGAGCTCTGCTCCTGCTCTGACATCGCCGCAATAGTTCTCACATAAATAATTACAGCGATAATTTTTTTCCATTCCCGAGGATGGAATCCCGGGTTTCCCCAAAGCCCCGGTTCTCCTAGAAGAAGCAGAGCTACAGCTGTGCCTGGGGCCACCCAAGAAGGCATTCCAGGCTGGCAGCGTGACAGTCACTGTGGGATCAGTATGCTGGAGATGCAGAATTGCCCCTGCCTGAGCAAAGGGGGTCAAGGGACAGAAGATGATGCAGCAGCAAAGACTGGGTAGACCCTTTAGGGTCTGCAGCTCACAGACGCTAAAGCACAGACCCTGCAGCAGAGGCTGTGGATTACCCCAGCTCCTTTTGGCCACCTCTTTCCAGACCTCACGCGATTCCATCCCAACCCCAGCTGTCGACCCATAACGTCACCATTTTGTGCCTTGAGGGTCTCAGAGGATCCTTCCAGCACAGCCCGCAGCCGGCAGAACTCTGAAAGACAGGTGGTCTAGTCAGCTGAGCCCTCTAATCCAGGTACTCTGGCTTCACCGTTGGGCGCCATGACACAGGAAGTGCCCGCCCCCCTCGGCCCACCTGATTGGCTAGTTCAGACAGCCCGCGTCTCTATCGCTGATTGGTTCCTTCTGTCCGCTGAGCTGAGAGTGACAAGAAAAAAGAAAGTCTTCTAGGGAGGGTGGCTGCAAATTAGAAATTGTAACCCAAGAACTCCTGCAGCAGTCTGGCTCCCAGGATGTGAATCTCACTTAGCATGAGGAATACCTGCATTTAAGGCCTTTTCTCCTGGCTTTTCAGAGCTGTTCTGGTTTCCTTAATAGTCTCAGTGGACTCCTCCTGAAATTGGGTCACAAGTGTATTCACAAGTTTCCGGGGAGATAGCTCAGTTGAATAAGCGCTTGCCTGGCAAGTGCAATGGCTTGAGTTCAATCTCTGGTTCCACAAAAAAAACAAAAACAAACAAAAACAAAAACAAAAACAAAACAAAACAAAACAACAACAACAACAAAAAACTTTCCATAAGGGCCGGCCTGGCAGTGTTGTGACTGTTTTCACCCCCAGGGCGTGATTGAGACACTCGCTCTGTAATCCCAGCTCTTGGGAGGCTGTAAACAGGAGAATCACTATGAGTCTGATCTACGTAGTGAGACCCTGTAGGATCTGCCCTAAATACAGAAAAAAAAGTTTCCATAGATCAATGTCCCATTAAATTCTGTATGTCATAATTTTCTCTGTAATAATAACAATCTCTGTTATAACGATAAAAGAATTTCTCCATCAATCCTCTGATGTCAGAAAATATCATGAGCAGGCACATTTAGCAGTTTATTTGAGCAAGGCAAGAAAGGATTCCCCTACTTGTCAGACCTCTGCCAGAACAGTTTCAAAGAGTCAGGGTGTGCCATGGGGTGTGGCAGTACTTGTGAGGTAAACTGAGGCACAAGCACAGCTTCTAGCTAATCTACACCTGGCCAGTGTAGCTCCTATAATTACCTGAGACTCAGCTACTATCAAAGACGTTAGACCTTGTTATGGGTTGTGTCTAGTTGTCCCCCTAAAACCTCATGCAGTGATGGAGCCGGGAGCTTCTAGAGTTTGATTAATTCATGACCTATTTCTGGGATTATAGATGTGAGTACTGATGGGATTATAGGCTTGAGTACTCCTGGGATTATGGATGTGAGTGCTGCTGGGATTATGGTTGTGAGTGTTGATGGGATTATGATTGTAATGCTGATGGGATTATGGTCAGTGCTGCTGGGATTATGGATGTGAATACTGATGGGATTATGGTCATGAGTGCAGCTGGGATTATGGATGTGAGTGTTAATGGGATTATGATCATAAGTGCTACATTCAGCCTGGAGCAGATAACCTTAATGCAAAATAAGGAAGGGAGGGAGGTATGCTCTCTGCCTCTGCCCGTGCTCCTCCCTTTTCACTCTTGCTGTTTGGTTGTTTTCAGCCCCCATGAACTGCTGCTCCGCTATGTGCCACTCTGCCTTGGTGCCAGCGGAGTACGGACTGAAACCTGCACAAACCTTTCCTTCCTTGATTTTGGATGTCAGGTGTTTTGTCCCTGCAACAAGAAAAAAGTAACTGAGACAGACCTACATTAGGGTTTCATTTACTTTAATTATGAAATTAGAACAGTTTATTTCCCTAAGTATCCATTGTGGGGCAGCCTTGCTCCATTAGTAATATATTTTTACTTTGCCAACAGAACTTTGGAGTGAGTCATACTTTTAACTTAAACAACTTTATTTATTTTTTATTATTTTTGGTGGAACCAGGATTGAACTCAGGCCTATGCGCTTGCCAGGGAAGCACTTATTCCACTAAGCCAGCTCCCTGGCTCCCTTAAAAACTTTAGATATAACACAGATTCAGATAGCTTCATACTTTATGATTTTGAATCAAAGCAAAATAAAATTGTAGGAATGAAGGCCCTTTCATCCAGCTAATCTGGTCAGTGTACCCACATTATAAGGGATCTGGATTCTGTCCAGTGCCAGAACCTCAGAGGTGCTGTCACCTCCTGCTCACCGTCTAGGCATTTGCTGCAGATGCAGTGCATCTTGGCAGCCTGCCTACTACCCCAGCAGTCACTGCTGGCCTCACCAAGCCCCAGGGGCAGCACTATCACCCTGGGATCCAGCGCACTGGGATCCTGGGGGGTGCTGGGCATGGGCTGCCCCAGCTTCTCCCATCCACCTTTGGCCACAGAAGCCAAGTGGGCACTGCAGCCCTGGGGTCCTGGCCTAACCAAGGGCACTGCAGTCTTCCCCTCAGCAGGAGCAGGCAGCCAGGGAGCCAGGTGGCAGCAGCCCATCACTGAGCATTCCTGGCCAGTCAGCCTGGTCTTCTCAGCTCTCTTTCAACTGGACAGGGTTCCAGGTATGCAGCTCACCAGGGCCACTGACCCAAAGTTGGTGAAGACTTTTCTGGTATCTGACTAGTTAGACTGAAGACATCATATCTTGAAATGTCATGATTGATTGGTTTAGTTTATTACAATATTTAGCATTACTATAAAGGACTCTGAATAAAAATTAGGCAAGATCTGAATGTCACAAGCAATACTACAGACAAAATTCAAACTTTTTTCTATTTGGAGAAGGGGAGGCACTGGGTGCTTTCTTAAATGGAGATGATAGCATACCTAGCAAAAATTTTCACATAATAAATCTGTATGATGTACATTGTGGAAAACATTACTACCACTACTACTACTATTATATTACTTGGTACAGGGTCTTACTACACAGTTCAGACTCATAGCAATGCTCCTGTATCAGCCTCCCCAGCGCTGGGATTACAGGCATGCACCACCTCCCCCCATTTTGGTGGCCTTCACAGCATGCCCGACGTTTGGGGCTGGCATGGCATGTGGTACTGGGGATCGAACCCGGGTCCTTGCACTTGCCAGGCAGGCGCTTAGACCGCCAATCTATCTCCCTGGCCCAAATTATTTTTATTAACTCAAATTTAACCAGACCTCTTTATATCATATCACACACCTGTGTAGCCCATTTCTCTGATGACTTTAGGAACTGCTGCACATCTTTTTGTTTTCTCTTTAAAATTTAAAACAATGTGGCCGGGGAGATGGCTCAGTAGAATAAGTGCTTGCCTGGCAAGCACAAGGGCCTGAGTTCAATCCCCGGTTCCGCAAAAAAAAAAAATTAAAACAATGTGAAAAATGAGTCTCGATGCACATGCAAACATTCTTTCATACTTCAGTTGAAACTTTCAGCTTCTTTTTTAAAAAATAATTTTATTGAGAAACAAATACCAATGAAACAGTTTCACAACCGATTACTGGCACATTTTCAATAATTAATATATTGCATATTGTTGTCTTAGTGGTTATTCATTGTACAAGATGCAGACATGATATCCTGTCTCAAACACTATTATAACAAGCCTTTCTATTCATTGAATTAAGAGAATGTAGCTGTATATCTATCCTAACTATTTTGAGTACACAAATACAAAAGGGTCATTCATTTCTGTGGGAAAGATCTTCTAATGAAAGCTTGACCTGCTCTCATCTGTTCTGTATTGACAGTGGAGCTCTGCATAACTTGCCATTAATTGATAGTCTTCCCATTGTGAATAAAAATGTATAACCAGAGTTAGGCAGATCATTGAGAAAAAACACAGAACAACCTGACGAAAGAAAGAACAGAAACTTCCAGTTTCTCGTGAAGTCCAATCAGTTTTGTAGTTGAAACAATTTGTTTGCAAAGCCTACATTTAAACACTTGAGGAGATTGGAATTAACTACCCAGCACGACATGTGGCAAATATGCTTCAGCATACCTAGAGCATTTTAGTGCTAATGTAGGTAAAGTTTAGGGAACATCAACTATAGATTAGGAAAATTTGTAACTGGATTGTATTAACTACTACTCTAGAATAATACTGTGTGGGTCATAAATTATATAATTGCATTTATTTAGAAGTTGACATGAAGCCATTTGTAAATGTGAAAGAACAGGTACTCAGATTTTTCTACCAGATGGTCCTAGATGACCCCATCATGCTTGATTCCATCTGAGAAACAAATATGACTTTCTAAGGGGAGAGAAAAACATAGCCACATGCATTGGGCACTCTTAACAGGCTTCTGGGAGGTGGCAGAGGCAGAGGCTGTGAGGGCTGTCCTATCCTCTCCTTTGTCTCCTCTGCTGTCTGTGACTTCACTGAGTTCATCTCGCAGATGGACGAGGTTCCACAGCCATTGCACTCTGATTCACTCGCTTCACACTGATGTGTATGACAATGGGAGATGCTCCTTACCCTATGATCTCCTGCCCATGTGATCAACACGTGGAAAGACTAGGGATTTGGCCCCTTTCCCCCTGATATGTGCTCCTTTTGGAAGGCGGGGAATGCCCCTTAATTTCTTTGTCCTATGAACTAGGTTGACGTGTTTAAGGCATCCATAAAGGAAGCACAGTAATTCTGTAGTTAGGAGAATGGTTTTCATCCAAGTGGGGTAATTTTCAGGAAAGGTCTTTCCCTGGGTGGCTTCAGTCTGAAACAGAGTCTGTAATTTTCTTTGTAATCAGCCCTCCCCTTCCCCTGGCAGAGCCTTGTGTGATTTTTTTTGAATCTTCTCCTTGAGATCTTGGGGTTGCTGAAGGTATCATGTGGAGTTTGTGTCATACAGGAGCATGATGTGACCTCATCCTGGTCCTCTCCTGCCCTCCAGTCATCCAGCATCTCTCCCTCAGTGCTCCCTCTACTGTGTGTCTGAGGTGCCTACTGTGCCTGATCCAAGCTTTCTTTATCCATCTTCATTTCTTCACCTTCTCACTGTCTTTCATGGCCTTCAGACCAGAAAGTTTGAGAGCCACACAGGCCAACACACATATTAAGTTAAAGGATGAAACACAGGAAACACAGACTGAGGCAAGCACTTTAGATAAGTGGAAATTCTTTTTTTTTTTCCTGTGGATTTTTTTTTCTTTTCAAAGTTTTATTGATAAACATACAGCAATGAGACAGTTTCAAATCAAATCGAAAGTACAG